AGTGGGGTGTTAAAGTCACCCACTATGATTGTATTGCTATTGATCTCTCCTTTGAAGTCCTCTGGAAGTTTTTTAACATATTCTGGTGCTCCTGTGTTTGGTGCATATAGCTTTACCAGGGTTATATTCTCTTGTTGGATTGTTCCTTTTAATATTATGTAGTGACTTTCTTTGTTTCTTATTATGGCCCTCGTTTTGATGTCTATCTTATCAGATATGAGTATTGCTACACCAGCTTTTTTTTTTTTCATTTCCATTTGCCTGGAAATTTTTTTTCATCCCTTCACTTTCATCCTGTGTGTCCTTTGTTATGAGGTGGGTCTCTTGTAGATGGCGCATATATGGGTCATGTTTTCTTACCCAATCAGCTACCCTATGTCTTTTGATGGGGGCATTTAAGCCATTTACGTTTAAGGTTATTATTGATAGATACTTTTTAGTTGCCATTTTTATTTTATGCCTGTGTCCCCCCCCCCCCCCCTTTCTTCTTCTTATAGCAGTCCCTTTAGCATTTCTTGCAGTGCTGGTTTGGTGGTAGTAAATTACTTTAGCCTTTTTTTTTTTTTTGTCTGTGAAGCTATTTATTTCACCTTCAGTTTTTAATGATAGTCTTGCTAGATAGAGAAGTCTTGTATTCAGAGCCTTGCCTTTTATTACTTTGTTCACTTCATGCCACTCCCTTCTGGCCTTCAGCATTTCTATTGAGAAATCAGCTGGCAGTCTAATGGGAGTTCCCTTATAGGTAACTTTCTGTCTCTCTCTTGCTTCCTTTAAGATTCTTTCTTTCTCTTTAATGTTTGCCATTTTTATTATGATGTGTCTAGCTCTGGGTCTTTCTGGGTTCATCTTGCTTGGAACTCTCTGTGTTTTCTGGGCTTGTGCGACTTTTCCTTTGCCAAATTAGAGCAGTTTTCTGTCATTATTTCTTTAAACAGGTTCTCTATTCCTTTCTCTGATTCTTCTCCTTCTGGTACCCCTATGATGCAAATTTTGTTACACTTTGTATTGTTCCAAAGTTCCCTTAAACTCTTCTCCTATTTTTAAATTTTTTTTCTCGATTTGCTGCTCTATTTGGGCTTCTTTTTCTACCTTGCCTTCTAACTCACTGATTTGGTCTTCGGTTTCTTCTAATCTACTATTGACTCCTTCCAAGGCATTTTTCATATCAGCTGTGTTTTTCTTTATTTCCTCTTGATTTCTATTTATAGCTTCTACCTCTTTTATTAAGGTGATGTAGTTCCCACTGAGCTATCCATAATTCTCATGAAGTTGCTTGTAGTTCTCACTGAATTGTTTGAGCACCCTTAAAATCATTGCTTTCAATTCTTTATCTGACAAATTGCTTTCTTCCATTTCATGTAATTCTCTTTCTGGTGATACCACCTTTTCTTTCCTTTGGGTGTTATTTCTTTGTCTCCCCATTTTAGCTATCTGGTAGTTCTAGACCTGGTGAGAGATGCTGGAATGTGTAGGCAGGTCAGTATGTATCAAATAAGGCTGCTGTGTTCCAAGACTGTTTTGGTGCTTGGTGCCTCTTGCCTACTGTGGGTCCTGGAGAGTTGACTACTGGTGGCTGGTATTGGTCTGTCCTGGTAGGCGCTGCTGTTGGATTGCACGGGCCCCACTAAAGCTGCCCTCCTCACCAGTGCCACAGGCAGATATATCACTCAGGCCCCACTGGAGCCACAGGCCCCACTAGTGCCGCAGATAGAGCTGTGAGCTCTCCTGGTGCCACAGGCAGCTGTATCTCATGGACCCACTGGAGCCCCAGGTCCTGCCACTGGTGGCTGCGGAGCACTGCTGCCTGGTGGGGCTCAGCTCCTGCTCAGCCTCTGCTGAAGCTTTTGGTGATGAGTCTCAGCTGCCAGTTTGTGCTACTGCTGCCTGGGGATGGATGTCTGCTCCCAAGCCTCTGTTTCTGGGGATGTGTCTCAGCTCTCATCAGGCTGCTGCTGTGGGGGATGGTGCTGGGCTCCTAGTTGCTTGTGACTTCTAAAGCAGGCACCTTTTCAGTGCTGCTACTGTGCACTGGTCTGTGTTGACACAGCAGGGTCCACTGGTCCAATGGTGGAGGTGCACTGGTAGACTCAGGTCGCTGGGCCCTAACCACTCCTGCTACCTCCTCCCAGAAAAGACCAGGGATCTTCCAAAATGGTGGGGCTTCCCAGCCACATAGGGAGAAGCACCCTAACAAGCTGCTTACCACGGTAGCCAGTTTTTCCCCATCCATAGCACAGGAACTTTCTGCCCCATGGTTCTGCACTGCTCAAGGTTGCTCGTCCACATTCACGTCCACTCACACTCCCTCTCCGGCTTGCTGACTCTCTCGCATACTCACCCTCCCTCTGGTCCTACCCACTACCATCTTCCTAGAACAAGAGTATTTAAAAGAACAACACAGGTGATTCTTTCTGTCTATGAATTTTTGGTGCTGCTCAGGTCTGTCTGTCAGTGACTGTAAGACCAGTGTAACATTCCTGAAGCTTCCACTTCCCTGTGTCTGGACACTTCTCAAGGTCGATAAGTTGTGTTTCGGTAATGACCTTGTACCACCTTAAGTAATAGTAATGGCCTTTGAAATTTGGGCACTTGTGCAAAAACTCTCTATAGAGTACATGGACTTTTCTTTCTTTCTTTTTCCTTTTATTCTTATTTATTTATTTATTTATTTATTCATTCATTCATTCATTCATTCATTCATTTTACCCATCTGAAGAACTCTTTCAAGTTATTCTGTTTTGCTGCTAGAAATTGCTGACGGTATTCCTTACAGGTCTCCTTTCTCCTTGCAAAGCCACACTGTATACCCTTGTCCCCATAGCTTCACTAGCAGATGACAAGGACTGTGCTTCCCACCAAACTGGTACTATTAATATTTATTTACCTCACAGTCAAGTTTTATTAATTACTTAATTAGCAGTAATAAAAACAATGAGTATTTGGGAGTAGGATGTGTTATATACACACTAAGAACAAACATTACTAATGAGACACAGACAAAGGTTGAATTCTAAATAAAGAAAAAAAATTTGGCCTGTCAATTTGAACTGTGCCTAGGCCCGAAAATGGCCTCTGCCAGGTGGCAGGTATGGCCATGTGCATGTGCGCGCACACACACACACACACACACACACTCCTGCCATTGCCAAGGCTGCCTTGTAGACCTGGCACCCAGGTGCCTCACTCTGAACATGACAGTTCTCTCTGCTCTGCACTTGTAGGCAGCAATCAGTTGAATGCACCCTATGCATGAGCTCCACCCATTTAACTTAAAGGGTGAGGAGAGTGGACACTGTGCAGTGAGCCACACCTTGGCTTGGTCGTTTGTCCCCTGTAAATACAACAAATGGCATGGATATGATGGTGGCTCAGGCAAAGCCCCAAAAGGTGAATATCTCTACACTTAGATTGATGCAAGGTTGTGGAACAGGCCTACCCACATCTGTGACTCCTGTTTAGGCCCTGCAGATCAGAGCAGCTGACCCATGCTCTCTGTTGCTTATAGACCTTTAATCAAGCCTGTTAGTTGCCCCGCATCTCCAGAATCCGTAGATGGACAAACCAGGGGTGTTGAGAAACTTTAACTCTCTTTATCACACCGTTACTATAGAATAGAATTCATCATCATCATCATTCCCTTTAACAAAATAATCGCAGTTCATTAAGCTCCTACTCTAGGTGATGCTGCGCTAGGGAATGGTTAAGAATGTTAGAACAATATGCTTGTGCTGTTGTTTATTTGAATATCTTCATATGCTTGCCTTTTGAGGAATGTGCCATCTAATTGACAAGATAAGTCTAGAGCATGAAAGATAAAATCAATTCAAAGTAGCATATTCTCAATGTCATATAAGGCACATATAATGTCAATGTTGGGCTCACTGGAGTTCTGAAAAGAGCAGTCTTTGGGGGACACCAGATAAAAGTGTCAGAGGGAGCTATAGAATTAGTATTGGACGTCATTCCGAAAGCCAGACTGGAACCACAGAAAGAGGTGGGTGAGGAGGGAGAGCGACTATGGCAGGGGGAGGAGGAGGTGGGAATCCAGAGAGCTTTGGAGAACAAGTTCTTTGCTTGTAAGAGTGGTGCCTTTTAAAAAACATCATGAAATAGTGAAAGGTAAAGTTCAAAATGTAGTAAGGAGTCAGCTTTTGAAGAACCTTGAATTGGGGAGTTATTCTAGTCTTTCTTTGGCCCCATCAAAGAGTGCTGTTCATGTCTTCATCACGAGTCAGTGTGGAAGGCAGCTCCTTGGTGGGATCGGGAGCACCCTACCACTCCTGTGTGTCAGAGGCCCCCTTGGAAGGGGGGAGGCCTCTGCGGTGTCTGCACTGTTGAGGAGAGCTGCTTCCAAAGGACGACAAGGCAGTCACTCTACTCCTCCAGCACTGAGGCCACAGTGCCCCTGAAAGATTCAGAAATCCACTCGCTCAGAGGATGAGCACGTTGCCAATGGCCTTTTCAAGCCTTTGCTTCAGAGTTGCTTCCCTCCCACGAAATGCTTCACCGACTCTATTAGCCGGAGCGCTGAGAATTTCAACTCGTTCCACAAATGACAGGGAAAGGCTTCATCAAAAGTGATGGTTTCTTTAGTTCATCAAATCTCTATTCACTGCAAAAACAGTATTGTCCTTGTGGTTCGTGCTTTATGATTGCTTTTATGGAGACAATGAAAAGGCAAACGATATAGGTGGAAACTTAAATTGACTATATCGCTAAGGCTTACTCTCTTCAAAAATAGCATGCTATATTAATGCATTTCTGATTTTAAAGTGCTTTTATAAAAATAAAAAAAGTAGGCTTCCTTGCACACAACAGTTCTATCAGATAATGGGCTATGGGAGAAAAAAAACATTTTGTGTAATTTATTTCTGGGGGCTTTGAAGAACAAAAATATTATTTTTTACTAATGTGCCTGAAATATCAGACAAAATATGGATGTAATATTCTGAGGTATCTTTCACTTATAGACTTATTTTCTGTCCATGTGTTTGTTGTAGGATCTAAGGGAGGAATGTGTAAAATTGAAAACAAGAGTGTTTGATTTGGAACAACAGAATCGAACGTTAAGTATCCTATTCCAACAGAGACTCAGACCCACTTCTGATCTGCTCCTCCAGGTATGTGTTTTTATGGAAAATCTTTGCTACTGAAATGCTATTGACAAGAAGTTACATACGTTCAAAAGCCATCACCATCTCCATGGGCAAGGCATGTTACGTCAGAACCTTGATTCTTTCGTCTCTCAGAGGATATCATAAAAATGAAACGTCTCTCAAATCTCTGACCTTTTAAAGCTACATTTAGATATATAAATGCATCAACAAATAATAAATGGTAAAGGGGACAATTATAAGGTGTCCTCTAGTAAACTAAGCAAATCAATGGAACGCAGTCAGGAAATAAAAGGAGAATTTTATGTAATGCCTGGAGTTCCTCTCTCTCATTCCTCCTCCTAACGAAATACTTCCTATATCCTGCCTCAGTGCTTTACAGGTTCTCCTTGTCTAAGTGCTCCCACTGGACTCTTTTGTTTCATAGCATGCAAAGTTGTAGAAAGTCAAGCTGTTGCCCTGGCTGCTTGGGCTTAGTGGTTAGAGTGTCAGCCCATGGACCAGAGTCACAGATTCGAATCCAGTCAAGGGCACGAACCTCAGTTGAGGTTTGGCCCTGGTTGAGGTTGTGCAGGAGGCAATCAATTGATGTGTCTTTCTCACATCGATGTTTCTCTCTCTCTCTTTCACTCTGTCTAAAGATTCTAAAGATAAATGGAAAATTATCCTCAGATGAGGATTTAAAAAAAAGAAGTCAAACTGTTATCCAAGGAGAACTCTCCCTGACCCCACCTATTGCCAGTGGGAGTGGGCTTTTCGCAATGTCACGAGAAAAATAATTTTCTGAGACTCTCATGCAAGAATGAGATATTGTAGAAAGTGTTATTTCTGGGGAATTAAACCCCTGAGTTTCCGAAGTTGCATTTCCATTTGTCTCACCAAGGAGAAAGTCTAGCTGTGTCTCTAGCAGAGCTAGAATTAAAGCTGTTGTCCAGAGTGTCCATTCCATGTTGGGACACAGTCCATTCCAGCATCAGGCTAGCTCAGTTTGTGTTTCCAGCTTCAGTCCACCAGTCCTTGTAAGTGGGGTCTGCATGCCATGACTTCCAGGAACACAGGTGAGTGGAAGAGCGCCACAAGACCCAAGAGAACAAGCTCCTTTGTCTGGAGGATTATGTATTCCCAAAGTTTTGCAGGCATGCATTGGCCCCACCCTTTCTAGCCAATGATTTATATTCCTAGGTTTGACTGACAGGCACCTTTCTTACATCACCCAACATCACTGTATACATCCATCTCCCCTTTGTTGGACCCCTTCCCCCAGTGATTTGCAGGGAATGGACCTGTCATTCCCTAGGGAGTGTAAAATTGCAGGTTCCTGGTAAAGCTTCCCAGGTACTCATGCTTATAACGTCTGGCCTCCCTTTTGCTCTTTACCTATTATTAATAAGTTGCTAATTATAAGAGTATCAAAACTATCATCTGATTTTAACAAAGTTCTCAAGAATAGATTTGCCTGCAGGAAAATGCATGAATTAGCAAAGGGGGCTGGAGAGCTGATCTTTGCTGGTTTTTTTTGTTTGTTTTGTTTTTAAGTTCTATCAATATGCATATTTGCTCAGACAAGCTCCATGAGCCTTGCTCAGAGCATTCTGATGCTCAGCTTGCAAAGGGTATGTGAAGCTTCACAGGAACAATGTACAATTAATTTTCAAAGGATAATCCTCAGCTACCTGGCCTAATTGACTAAGAGAAAGGAAAAGACAGAGTATCCTCAAAACTACACTATTTAGCACATGTAGCCAGTAGCCACATGGCACTACTGAAATTGAAAATTAAATTAAACCAAAATGAAGTTTAGTTTTCTAAGTCAAACTAGCCACATTTCCAGTGTTGAAAAACCACATGTAGCTGGCTGCTACCATATTAAAGAATATTTCCATCATCTTAGAAAGTTCTACAGGAGAGCACTTTTCCAGATGGTTGAGACAGTGTTACTAATTTACTCTCTGAATTTTGGCATATACATCTCTACTGGATGACTCCGGGAAATAATGAAAAATTACAGTTCATTTTAGAGAAAGAAAAATGTTTGGTAAAGCTGAACATCAAAAGTGATTCTCCCTCCTCCAAATGAAAATAAAACAGCTCTTTGAATTGTAAAATAGATCTCATCTCTTAAATTAATTTCCTCTCTGCATTATCTGTTAGTGCATAATTCATAATTTATGGCTCAAAAATTGTGTGGAAAAAATTCTTCTCTCTCTTCTGTTTCCTATTCCAGACCACAGTAAATGTTGGTTATAGAGAATCGTGCATCTGTAAAAATTATATTTTCTTTCCTCTCTCATAATCAAGATCCAATATTACAATTATTTTAACAGCTGTTCATGAGTTTTTCTGTTTTCCCATCTGTTTTAATAATGTTTTTGTATTACCTGTTTATGAGTCATGATGGTTTGTTTCCACAGTCAAGATCTGTGCCATAGATATTTAAGCATTTTCATTGGCCATCACAAATTTCTTAAATCCATATCTAAATGGTAGGGAATGGTGTTGTATGCTTGCAGCAGAACTCAGTCTTTAATCATTGGTGCTTCCAGCCAACACACTTCATATTCCTCCCCAAGAAGTCCTCTCTTCCAGGAGCCACTCTAATATACATGGAACTTGAAAAGGCTGGGCTGTCAATAGTTCTGTGAAGAATGATAGAAAGTGTGGTGCCTGCCCTCTAACACCTTACGGCTCTCAGTCATAGACAATGTTGCTGGCTTTTCAGGGGGTCTATTCATTATCAAACTCACGATTTTTCATTTTCTGGCGGCACAAATACAAATGGAGCACTGGCTGAAGGAAAAGCAGTCTGGGCTTGCTCTGCACCTGTGGAAGCTCTGTAATTACTTGTTTCATGGAATAATGAATAAAAGACACAGATTCATTCTGCAAGTTGGGTGTTATTTTGCATACCCCTAAGAGAATGTTATGCCTCCACCTGTCTAACAGGATACTTTGCAATAGTGTGGCCATGCTGAGCCTGCCCAGTCTGTTTGAGGGGGTGGCTGATGCAGCAAATTCATCACTATGCCTAGTACCAAATATTATAGAGGGGAAAGAAAAAGTGCCTAACCTGAAAATTAAAATCTTAAGAATGGCAATAGCCCAGCCATTGTGACTCAGTGGTTGAGTGTCAACCCATGCACCAAGAGGTCACCGGTTAAATTCTGGGTTGGGGCACATGCCCAGGTTATGGGCTCCATCCCCAGTGGGGGGCACACAGGAGGCAGCCAATCGATGTTCTCACATATATGTTTCTATCTCACCCTCTCTCCCTTAATCCAATAAAAAAAAATATTTTTAAAAAATGGTAATAAACTTCTCTGTTGATTCCAATTTCCAGAATGATATCTCTGGGACTGTGTGTAATAACAAATCAGATTAAAAACGTCCTTTATATGAAAGTCAACAAGTTGAGCTAAATTCTAGAGAACCGAGAAGCCAGAATCACAAATGAAATCTAAAAGTAATGATCTTAATGGAACTGGAGTCTCTTACTAAAGTTTTGAATTAAACCTACTGTCTAGATTAACCAATGATCACCATTTCCTTTTGTAAATCATATATTAAACAACACTCTTACCTTACTGGCCATTGGTAACTAGTAGAGAGCTCTATACTAAATGTACTTACTTCTCTTACCATTTGAGTTAAATACTCACTATGAATGAATTGCATTTGTAACTCAGCATGTTTATGCCAGGAGCACACATCATGGTAATTATGTACTTTTAACTACTATATAAATCAGTGGAATATGGTGCAAAAAGAATTGTTTTTATAAAACAGTATTTCAAAAGTATCTAGCAAGGCAAGTCACTAAAAAGAAATGTTTGTGATCAAATGAAATATAGGTGTCTAACTGTAAAAAAAAAAATTGTGGGAGATGAAACTATGTTAAGGGGAGAGGTATTATACATGCAAATTGCTTCTTGGGTGCCTTTAAATTCTTGTCCCACTGTTGAGAAAAACAAAAATCTAAAAATCAGACACAATGCATAAACCATGGTTTTGATGTCAAAAGAAAGCAAACAAATATTGGAGGATTCTAATAGTAGGATCCTTAGGCAAAGAAGCATACTGTTTGGCCCTCCCCAAACTGCTATTTAACAAATACCTTGTGCTTATCAAGTATCAGATACTATTCTATAATCTTTACCGACTTCATCTCCATTAGGATCCCATGACGTAGAAACTATTATTGTACCCATTTTACAGATGGGGGCATGGCACAGAGAGGCTGTCACCAGCTGGTAATTGACAGAGAGGGGATTTAAATCCACAGTCAGGCTTGAGTTCCTCCCTTTCACTTTCTTTCTGAGGGCCTGAGCATGAAACACTAATGAACATGAGGAACATTTTTCTGATTCCACACTCTGACATTTTGATTAACTGGCCCACTTGGGCTCGAGTCAGATCAGAGGGCTTCCACCGTGCAGTCGTAATAAGGAGCCTGCTATTTTTACACATTTCTGAAAGGCTCTTGATTTGTGACATCCAAGCATGTCCCCTCTCCTGTGTGTCCTGCTTTTGTCTTGTTTTGGATACCTGTGTTATCATTAATTACCTTGATAGGACATCATTCTTGCATTTTCTGCCTAACACCGTTTTTTCTTTTCTTTTTTATCTGATATTTCAAAGACTCCTAGTAACCATATCCTTAGGCCAAGATAAAATGAAATCAATGTTATAATGTAGATTATTCACACAAACTGTTGAAAATCTGACAGCTTAGAACCAAAGTATAAAAACTTGCCGTCACTTCTTAGAGTGCTGACTTTTTGTTTGCTCGTGTTTGGTTTTATATTTTAGATGAGATGAGAGGATTTTAAAATTCCACTGGTGCTTCTGATTATTTTTTTTCCTATACTCAATCTTTATTTTCAGAGTATAAATCTATCCAAGAATCTTATTTGGCAAAACGCCACATTATACACTCCCCTCTCCACCTGTCCTCAAGCATGAATCCTGTTTTCTGAGAACCAACCCAATGCTGCCACCTCTCAGGGCCT